TTAACTAATAGTTAACGTCTATAGAGAGTTTTTTGTCCTAAAATAAAACGTTGGGACCAAAATACTAAAAAAATTAGATGCCAAAATGACTATTTTTTACATTATGACTTTAGAATATTTCTTAGCTATTCATAATATACATATATCCTACTCAAACTCGGAATCTCTGATGAAAACAAAACTTCTTTTAACTATTTAGGTTGTTTGAGTATCTTATTCTTTAGATCTTATAAATGGAGTGATGTTAAACATCCAACAGGGTAACTTTATTTAAGTTAAAAGAATTAATTTATGTTTAATTTGTTGAAAGGATAAACGAGAAATACCTATGAATAGATCGAGGAGATCGATTAGGGATAGTTGCATCTTTAAAAAATTTAATCATATATTTTGATTATTTTTATGTATTTTCTATTGATAATATATTTTCGTCGTTCTTTAAAAAATTAAAAATTCTATTATATCTGATATAAAATTCTACGTACGATTTTAAAAATATTTATGATTTACGTAAAAAAGTTTAATCACAATTTATACATACAGATTTAACTAAAATCAATTATGATTATTAAATATCAAAGAGGGTCAGCAAAAGTTTATTTTTATAGTTAATATTAAAATTATGTTAATTATTATTTGTATATATTTAAAAATTTTAAAAAGAATAATTACTATTTTAATTCTATTTGTTGGGAAATTATATAGGTATAGTGTCAAAAATAGCTCCAACGTCTATCAAAATGGTCATTTTAACCCTCGTTCTTTTTATGTGATCATTTTAGCCCCCAACGTTTCACTTTGGGGCAAAAAGCTCCCTCTATAAACGAAAATCATTAATTAATACACAATTAACACTCCAAAATATGAGTATTTTTTTACCTAAAATGAAACGTAGATGGCTAAAATGCCAAAAAAAATAAAGGACAAAGTGATTATTTTATCAAATGTTAAAGGTTTTTTTCCGAGATGACTATCCAGCTCAGTTGGTAGAGCACAAGGTTCTTAACCTTAATGTCGTGGGATCGAGTCCCTTTTATAATTCGGGGGTCTTCTACGGAAGCTGCTCTCAACCTGGTGTTGGGGGCAATTTACTATCTTACCTCCCCTTACCCCATTATATATGGTAACAAAGGATAACCATTTTTTTAAAGGTTTTCTCCCCTAAAATAAAACGTTGGGCCAGAATGCTCAAAAAAATAATAGGGGAAAGTGAGGTTTAGGGGAATTGGGACCTTAGTCTTTAGCACATTGTCCAAAGGTAGTAAAGAATCAAATTATGTACTTTCCCATCATATTGTATTATCTTCTATTATTAGTTGGTGCATATAGTCGGCATAGTAAGTTTGAACTTGATAGTGTGCTTGATTAGATTTGAATTTGATTGAAATGGATATTAAACATTACCAAAAAGAAATTATATTTATAAATAAATAATAAAAAATATTTTAAATAAGATCAAGAATTATGTACTCTAGTTATAATCATTTCTTATAGATTATTATTAAGTGTACTTACAGTTAAATTTTATTCTTCAAAAGTAATCATAAGTGTATTGCCTTTTTTAGTTTTTAACGCTTTTTCTATAATAAATATTTTAACTTTAAATAATCATTGATATTTAATTTATTAGAGGTTAATCCAAATTTAATATTATAGAGAGCTAATATGAAGACATCGTTTATAACCCAATTTATTTTATTTACAACATCATAATTCGAACTAGGAACATTGTTTAAGAGAACTAACTCTCATCCTACTTAGGGATGGATGCGGGACCCGAACCCGACGGGTTCCGATCCAATTCGATCGGATAGTTTTTTTTAAATCAAGTCCATGTCGGGTTAGGCCGAGTTTTTTTAGAAGATAGGATTGGGTCAGGTCGGGTTCTGGTTAAGGATAAAAAATATTCGACCCGACCTGAAAAACAATATAAAAATACCTTATATATTTAGGGATAATTGTAAGAATACCCCTCTTTATATTAATTTTTTCCAATATTATTTTTTTTCATTAAGTCCTACTTATTAAATAACATTAATAATTTTATATTATTTTGGGTCGGAGTAGGGTTTATCTCTAAAGTTGGGTTGGTTGAAATTACTCTAAACTCGAGCCAGGTCGAGTTTCGCGTAGAGGGTATAAAATTTTCCGGTCGGGCCAGCTTGATCGAAAACCCAAATCATACTTATCCCTAATCTTACTAGACCAACTAATTGATAGTAATAATTATCTTTTCTTAATTTTGTATTTTTAAATAAATTGGTAACATCTGGGTCAGTGATTTCTCGGCACGTGTCCCGACCTGGATGTTGTGGGTACCCGATACCCGTTTTTTTTCATTTTCAAATTATTAATTTAAAAAAATATACACAAATTTAAATGCTTGAAACTTCGAATTACATATAACAACATCCGAACATAAAATTTAAAAGTTTGAAATACAAAATCTAATAATACATAATATAAATAATCCATTATATATATATATATATATATATATATAATAAAATAATAAAAACTAACCAGGTACACGGGTAATAGGTTACTCGGAAAAACACAATTTTGTGACCCGGGCCTGACTCGAAAAATGTCGGGTCGGGTAATTTATTTTAGAAAATTACCCAATTTTTTAATGTTCAGATCGACAGATCGAGTCACCGGGTCGAATATTTTTGCACATCCATGGAGGTGGGTATATGGTCCTATCAAATAAAAGGAAAATGGAGCCAATTTTACATAGCCCATCACAAAATCCTAAATGTCTCACATTTAGTACAACAAGACAAGTTGGCATTTGGATTGATTCATGCTCATTTGGGCCCCCCATTTTCTTTTTCAACAATCACATGCTTATGCATTCTATGGTGTCCAAAAAAGCATTTGACAAAATTTAAAAATCAATTTGGATTAATTTTTCGATTAAGGGACGATCATGTGAATTTATGTTAGAGCTAAGAAATTTTATAAATTTAGGGATATAAGATTATATCTTCAAAAAATACAAAGACTATACTTGAACTATATGAGAATTTAAAATTTTCAAGGGGTGTGACAGTTCTCCCAGTACCCTCCCGGTCCTTCTCTGATTCGGTTTGATTATATTTTATTTGATAAGTATTAATTGGGGTAAAGTTGAAAAAGTAAGGGGTCTAGGATGAATCATATTTCTTGAGAGGGTTGATGTGTAATTTTTTTGTTGTGTTTATTTATACTTTCTCAAACTTTCAAGGGATTTAATTGCAATTTTACCAATTATAGTCGCAATGGACTTCGCAAATTTGTGAACCAACGTTTTCTAACATAGTTTAAAATATTATATGTTTACGTAAATTTTAATATACTAATAGTGTATGTTAAAAGATTTAGAATTTCATACATGTGTATTACTTTTAGTTATGCAAAAAGGTTTAGATAGATGAGTGGTTGATGATAGGCACACTTCTTTAAGACAGAACTAGGTCGTAAACGAACCGAGCGAACACAAACAGGGTATGTTCATGTTCTTTTGTTTAACTTTAACCGAACAAATGAACGAACACGAACATAAACGAACGAAAATTTATTGTTCGTGTATGTTCATTAAGGAATGTAGTTTGTTTGTGTTTGTTCATATTCGTTCATTTAAATGATAAACAAACACAATAAACGAACGTAAACAAACACAATAAACGAACGTAAACGAACACAAAAAATGAACGTAAACGAACATAAATGAAAATATTTTTTATCTTTCCTAACAATTTTAGGATTATATTTTATTTAATTGTTTTGAGTTTTTTTATTAGTACTTAAAATTAATTGAATTTTAAAATATTTATAGGTATCAGATTAAAATTTATTGGGTTTTAATATTTTAAATGGGTCTAGAGAGATTGAGCTTAAAAAAATGAACGCATATAAACGAACATAAATGAACGAACATAAAAAAATAATTAAGACAATTTTAAATTATTTTGAACAATATAAAAAATGAATGGAAAATTTTTTATAGTTAAATAAGTTTTTTACTATAAATTCATGAATCAATTTAAGAAATATTTTATAATTAAACTAATCTAATCATTAAATTATAATAAATAAATAAAATAAGTGATTAAAAATATCATCATAATTGTATCACTAAAACGACAAACTTTGAATTCAAGGATCATATTAAAAAGTTTTAAAATATTAAACAAGAATCATCCAAGGATATGAACATTTTGGACCGTTCTTTGTCCATTGACAAATGGTAGTTGATACATCGGCGTTGATCGCTCTGTTATGCACTACATCCCTCTAATGATGGCTATGGTAGAGTCGTTTCATCGTTGTCGATGCACTCCTTGAATTCAGATCCACGATAGGACGAGGACTGAGTTCCATCTCAATATCTTCAATTGCCTCCCCAGTCGACTGTCATTGCAATGCCATCTGATGCAACTGATTACTTTGGACAATTTTATTAACTCGGAGTCGCGCGTGTTCTCCGTTTGTTAACCTTATCATTTCGTATCACATACGACGTTCTTCCTTTTCAACTTTAATCGAAGTTCTTGTGTGTTTACTCTTCAATCGATCATATTGTTTCTCACAACAATTTTTAAGGCCATTAATCTCATCTACTTGATCTAAAAGAACAACTGATGAAGCCATTTGAGTTAATTTTACCCATTTTGGTCACATCAAACTTTGCAAATTTGAATTGAGTGTCACCTTGGTTTGTTTTGTGGACTTAAGTTTTTATAATATAGTTTGGAATATTAATTATGCAAGGTAAAAAGATATTTCTAATTTATTAGGATTCAGTACATATATAGCATAGTAATACATATCAGCTATACTTAATATACATTTTCCCCAGCGATATTTAAAAAATCTAGCAAATATTTGATGTTTTAATGATATATAATTATTGATAAATCAAATGATATTACACCATTAAAATAAAATAGTTTAATTTTTATTTTGATGGTGTGTCATCATCTGATTTGTTGATTATATATGAAATTATATATCAGTAACGCATCGAATAAATACCTTAAAAGATAAGGCAATAACCCTAACTAAAACTAGATTTATTTTTCTTCTTCAAAATAACCCATCTTCCGATAGCCATCTCTCTATTAGATCCCCAAAATTTGGCTTGCTTTCATCTTCGGAGACGACGCCGTTTTCTGACGTCATCAAATTTGCGTTCTGCTCCTCCACCGATACAGATTCATGCGAATCGTTATCCGATGAACCGCACGATTTGTTGAAGCTGAAAATTGAGTCGAACGGTGTCGTTTCGCCGCTGAATGCTCCTCCGTCACCACTAGAGGTGTTCCCGGAGGAGCCGTTGATGAACGAACCCTGAGTCACCGTGTCAGCCGAGTTCGTTCGATTATCGCCACCAACACCGCCGCCGCCAAAACCGGCGGTGACTGGTTTGGGCGTGGCTTTCATCCAGTTCTCGAGCAACCGAGATATGTTCTCGGCACTCAACGCATACGACGACTCGTTTGACGGCTTCGAATCCGTCGAAAACGCCTCGGACAGCGCCTGTTTAGCCAATCGGATATCGGTTTGAAGCCTTCTCTCCCACTGTCCCTTGGAGACCGATTGAGACGAAGAAACCCCGTCTTGGTCTTGACCACTTCTAAGCTTCTTCTTCAAGTGGGTGTTCCAATAGTTCTTTATATCATTATCTGTTCTTTGAGGAAGATAAGAAGCTATGGCAGCCCATCTGCAAATCCGAAAACAAAAACCCACACTTTTAACAACAACAAAAACCTTTTTATCGAGTTAAATCACTGGGTTTACATTCATACCTGTTTCCCAGAAGGGCTTGGAGATGGATAATCGTCTTCTCTTCTTGCTCGGTGAAGCTACCACGCTTGATGCCCGGCCTGAGATAATTAGTCCATCGAAGCCTGCAACTCTTGCTGCATCTAAGTAACCCTGCAAAGAAAAAATCAAACAGATATTATGTAGGGAAAATATAGAGGTGCCTTTATATTTATTGCACTCTTTAATGAACACAACTAACACCACAAAAGGGAGAATTGGTTACCTGTGTTAGTGGGAATCGATCTCCAGTTTCCAGGACCGTGTTCTTGGATATAAGAGACCAGTATGATATCTTCTTCAGGTGTCCATGGACCCTTTTTCACACCCAGTTTGTCACAGCAAGGTGGTCTGCCCATTCGTTCACTTTTTTCTTTTTTTTTTGATGATCGAAGTTTGATGATGATGATGATGATTTTATTCTGGATTTTGAAACCCTGAAATGTTTTTGTGATTTAGCTTCAAAAGGGCAAGGATTTGGGTTTGTCTATATATAGAGAAGAAAGAGAGGACCATCCCCCCCCCCCCGGGGGAAGGAGGTGTTGAACGCTGAGACTCCCAATTATTAATGAGGTAAATGTGGGTATGCAAATCCAAGAGAGTCAAAACTGACAGCAAACATCATTTACTCATTGTTTGCCAAAAGTCAGATGTGCTTGGACTCTATCGGCGGACACATAAAATTTTAAGCTAGGCGGGATCGGTAAAATAAAGATTTAATAGAATTTTAATATAGACACTTGCTCATTCTTAACTAATAAGTTTACGTCAATTTATAGTCATTAGATTTAAATAAATAAATGGCTTAGATTTAATAAAAAAATTATAACTCAAACAAATATATTTTAACTCACACTAAACAATATCTCTTTTTACCACAATTTCAATCCTAAAATCTAAATTCTAAATCTCAAACCCTAAAACTCCCACTCTAAATGTAAATCCCTAAATCATAAACCCTAAATCTTAAATCTTAAACTCTAACCCCTAAGAGGAAAGAATATCATTTTATTGTGAGATAAAATAGTCCTCCGACTATAGAATGTTGCTATGCTAAGTCCCTCGACTATTAAAAGCTACAAAATGGTCACCCAAATATTTATTATGTTCCAAACTCGTCATTTTTCGTTAAGAAATTGACGGTTGTTTAAGTTGAACATTAACATGATGACTGAGATATGATAGTCGTTTGAGATATTGTGATCAAATTTTATTATATCATGGTCAACATGTTAACGTTAAGCTCAAAATAACGTCCATTTTTTACGGGAAAAGACGAGTTTGGTACATAATGAATAGTCAAGTGACCATTTTGTAACTTTAAATAGTTAGGGATTCAACAAAATATCACTCTATAGCTAGATGACTATTTTGTAACTTTTAATAGTTAATGAACTTAAGAAAGCGGTATCCTATAGTCGGGGGACCATTTGTGTACTTTGCCCTTAATAATTAGTAACTTAATTTGAACAACGATATTGGTTTAAGTAGTAAGCAGCTTGATATCGCTTAAGCAAAGTCTCGAGTTTGAATCATTATGTATGCAGAAAATCCCCGTTGAGAGACTCACCCACAAAAAATAAGTTTTGGACACGAATCGATCCGAATTAGTCAAGATAAAACCTTAGAACCCGAAAGAAAAATAAATAAATAGTAACCTAATTTCAAATCAAAGAATTCAAGCAATAAAAATTGCATGTCCCACTTATTACGTGACATTAGAAAGGCATTAAGGAAGAGTAAGAGTTCAGTTTTCCAAGTTCCAATAGACAATAGATTATTATAATGACATCAATTTATTAATTTATACTTATTATTAATATACTCAATATTAATAAAGAAACACATGGCATTGCCAATTACTCTAGCCATGTACTATATTACGATATATTATATTATAATGAGGACCTGCTTATTTTAATTTTATATTTTTCATAAATTTTGGTGATTAATATTTTAATAATATTTATTATTTTTCAAATATTTTTTCTAAAAATTATAGAATTATATAATCGATTGTATTTTAATTATTAAATAAAAGGTTTATAAATGAAATTATTGATGTGATAGATAAATATATTTACATAATAGGATATAAAAGGATTTCTTATGTTAAATTTATGTGGTACTTAAATTTGAATTAATTGATTAAATACGGAACGAGTATACCATATAAAGAGCGATATGTGTGAAAGCTGCCCATTGGTATTGGGCCCATCATTGAATATACTGAAAATGATGGCAAATCAAGCATGCATTTGCGGACAAAATGACATCATTTGATTTATTTATTTTTCTCCCATAAAGAAAATATAGGTAAAGTACACTAGTGGGCCACTGACTATAGGATATTGCTTGATTAAGTCCTTTACTATTAAAAGTTATAAAATGATCCTCAGATTATAGAGTGTTGCTTTGTTGAGTCAATCGACTATTAAAAATTATAAAAAGGTCATCAGACATTCATTATGTTCAAAACTCGTCCTTTTATGTTAAAAAATTGATTGTATTCTGAGCTGAACGTTAACCTAATAACTGTGATATGTTAAAATCTGATCTTAGAACCTCAAACGATTAACATATCCCAATCATCATGTTAGCGTCCAACTTAGGCAACCGTCAATTTTAACGGAAAAGGACGAGTTTGGAACATAATGAATAGTCAAATGACCATTTTGTAACTTTTAACAAACGAGTGACTTAATAAAGTAATACTCTATAGTCGGAGGACCATTTTGTAACTTTTGATAATCGAGGGGCTTAATAAAATACTACCCTGTAATCAGGGATCATTTGTGTACTTTACCCATAAATAATTTGGTTTATCATGTTTTAATATGATTTTTTATCATTTGAAAGCAAATAAGTTAAATATCAATAGATATATACATGGATTGAGAGAAGTTGGACGATTGTATTCATGAATCTTAACGTTGTCCATGCAAACCATATGTCCCATGCTTTCTTAAAGAAAGCTTTGAAAACCCCATGTAAAACAATAATATGAATTCACATTATATATATATATATATATATATATATACAAATCAATCTTAGATTTACTAACTATTGTCACAGGCCGTAGAGTTGGGTTCTTACTTAGTCGCAAAGAATACCCATAAGTGTCAAGAAGCGTCTAAGACTGTACGTCCCGTCAGACATTAACTCTGATATTGCGATAATTTGACCTTGAAGGTTCCGAGGATGTGACACCAGCAATTACCTTATCTAATAAGACGGAGTATTAAAACCCTTAAACAAAATTCAATTTTTGAAATATATCGTTATAAATAAATTAAATTAGATTATAATGATCACTCCAATAATAAAATTTTGCAATAATTAATTTAAATTAATTAATTATTAAATATTGATGTTTAGGCAAAATTGTCAAAGAAACTATTACCGACATGTAAAAGTGGAGCATGTTATCAGGAGGATTCATTGTAAAGCATGATTGGACCAATTAATATTTTTGGGTAAACTATATTGATGGCCATTTTTTTTTATGATTTTGATCATTTAATTTTTAAATTTATATTTATCACTTATATTATTATTTTATCACAAAATAATAATTTGGGCGTTAACTCGTTTGACATGTTAATATGATTAATTTCTAATTTGACCCAAATTTTAGATAAAATATTAGTTTAGTATTTTTCACAACATTTTAATTATAATTCTAAGAATTGGAGGAGGAGAGTAACATTTTGGTATTGGTTTTGATCATATAAGGTGATTGGAGAGGTGACGAACGAGAAACTAAGGATAATTACTAGGGTTTTTTTTCTAGAATTATAGTTAAAATATTACAAAAAAATTAAATTGATATTTATAAAAAATAATGATTAAATTAAAAATGAACTTTTTCATAAATATGTCATATCATCGATGTAACAAGAATTAATGTTCGAATGATCATTTTGTAATAAATCAATCATGTGTGACCAAATATATATATATATATATATATATATATATATATATTAAAAACATTGTTTTTTTTCAATTCAGAAGCATACAAAGGTAACGACAATGATTGATACATCATTAAAAAAGACCTCCCTAAACATAATTAGAGGAAAAAGAATGTCCTGATCAAAATCAGACGGTACATAATCGCAATCTATTGAAAGAAACAATGTCAAAGACACTGATACAACACCATTTTGCTAAAAACCTATAAATATAAAAAAATACGAACTCGAGCATCATATATACAGATCGAATACAGATCGAATACAAAATATACATATCATCTAAATTTGTACTCAATTCACATATATAGTCAATCATACCATTTAAGTTTAGATAAGATGAAATGACTTTAAACAAAAAAGATGAGTTAAATTTGGCTTTTGGTGCCGCATGTGGTAACAAAAAGATAATTTTGGCATCGATAATGCCATGCGTTGCTTTTTAATAAACATTTTGACTTTCTCTCATAGGTATTTATTGGACGGGATTGCTGATTTGGACACTTCCTAAGCCACGTGTCGACCAACAATAAACAGAAAAAATAACAAATTATCAAGAATAAATTTTGAGTTTACATTTAATGTCTTGATGATAACTAGATTTATATGATTAAAGATGGCGATTTTTTTTTTTAAATCGAGATTGGATCGGGTCAGATTTGTTAAGGGTTGAGATTGGGTCGGGGTCGGGTTCCGGTGGATGGTGAAAAAACTCCGACCTGGCCCAAGGATAATAATGTATTTTTCTAAATTTTTTGCTATTTTTAAATTAAATCCTTATTTCGTATCAGGTTGAGTTGGGTAGTGTCAGATTTATACTCTAAAAATTTGGGCCGGGTCGGAATCGAGTGGATGGTATATATTTTTTGGATCGGGTGGAGGATATAAAATATTCGGGTCATGTCGGGTTCGGGTAGATTATACATATTTTCGGGACGGGTCGGGTTGTTGACCAAAAACCTGACCCATTGCCATCGTTAGATATGATATTGATTTTATGTAAATTAAAGAGTAAAGTAAATAAATGGTTCCTGACTATAGGGTGTTGCATTATTAAGTCGTTCGATTATTGAAAGTTACAAAATGGTCCCAATTATAAGACATTGTTTTTTAAGTCTCTTGACTATTAAAAGTTACAAAATGGTAACCCGACTATTCATTGTGTTCCAAACTCGTCCTTTTTTTCGTTACAAATGATGACAATTTGAATTGGATGTTAATCTGGTAATTGATATATGATATAATATGATCTCAGAATCTCAAACAACTATCATATCCCAGTCAGTAGGTTGACATCCAATTCTAGTCGCTGTCAATTTTCAATGAAAAAAGACGAGTTTGGAACACAATAAATAGTCGGGTTACCATTTTGTAACTTTTAATTTATTAAAATTAGGACCAAATTGATAGAATATATAAATAACAGTGATCAAATGTGTAATTATATCAAATATTTTAACTATCACATCAGCTTCTCCGTTAAATATTAACTGCAGGTGGCTTAATTGAATACATTTAAATAGTTGAGTGACCTGATTGACAAAAATTCAAAAATATTGGTCAAAATGAAAATGGGCAATAGTTAGGTGATCAATGTTATATTTACCCTTTATTTTAAATAATTTATCTTTATATTTTTAACTAATTTATAATTATACGCTGAGTATTTTAGAATTTAAATTTTTATAAATTGAATTAATGGTACTCGTCGTTAGTAGTGCTTATCGCTGCTTGTCGAACGTGAAAAAATCATCCGTGAGATTAGTATGATATATCGAGTTTTTTTTTTGGGTTTAAAGACAAGGAACAAATACAACAACTGGGAATATTTCTAGAAGTCCTCCTTAATTATTTGTTTGTTTACTTTTGGGTCCCATTTTCCTAGCTTGCTTTCTCGCCGTTCATGCATGTCCTTTTACCATTTAATAAGCTATAAATTGTTGCTGCTTTGGATTCAAGCTTCCACACTAGGTGGTTGTACGACAATGTCAAGAGTACTAAAAGTTACAAAATGGTCCCCTGATTATAGGATATTATTTTGTGAGTTTCTCGACTATTAAAAGTCATAAAATGGTCACCTAAATATTCATTATGTTTCAAATTCATAATTTTTCGTTAAAAATTGATGACAATCTGAGTTGGATGTTAATATGTTGTATGAGATGATTAATTTGATCACAAAATCTCAAACGAGTATCATATGTCAAACAACAAATTAACATTTAGCTCAATCTATTGTCATTTTTAATAGAAAATGACAAATTTAGAATATAATGAATAGCCAGATGATCATTTTGTAACTTTTAATAGCCGAGAGACTCAACAAAGCAACATCCTATAATTAGAGAACCATTTTGTAACTTTTTATAGTTGAGGGACTCCAAAAACAACATCCTATAGTCGAGGGACCATATGTACGAAGTTATGCGCATGGCTATTGTTTTAATAGAGAGCTCAATCATTCTAGTGACCATTACTAACTTGATTAGGGTCGCGTTAGATGTTATATGTATTTATTTATTTTGGTTGTCCTTCAGTTCTAAGGTTTTATTATGATTAATCTGGACCGACTCGGATCGCAAACATGATTTTGGTGGGCGAGTTTTCCAACGAAAATTTTTTGCATACACAATGACTCAAACCTGAGATCTTGCTTAATCTATATCAAACTGCTTACAACTTGAATTAAACTGCTGGTCAGATGTTATCTATATTTCAAAAATAGTACACGTTCACTCAACTATATATAATGTGTACTATTTATGATTAAATTTCAAATAACATTAAAATCCCATGTTAGGAAGAAATTTTGCAAATAAATCAACATCAACAATAACCACTAACTAATTTGAGGGCTCCTAAATAGGATTCATGTCACCTTAAACGGTTCATAATTTAGCATTAGAGTCAAAGGGTCGCATAATTATTCTTCCAAACTTAACCTCGACCCAATCAATTATCCATGCATTTACTTGGTTTACGGTTTTGACGTGGAAATACACGATAGTGACTTAACAAATTTAATCATTGATATATTATTCTATTATTCATTTGATAGTGAATATATTATATAAATCTGGGTAAATACAAAATAATATATATAATATACGTTGAAAGGTTAATAATTTGATGATAAACGATCATACCTCAACTTATATAGTATTTGAACCCAAAACTTTAAGAAATAATAACAAATCTTATAAGCACGAAAATTAATACATAATTAGTACATTATATATATATTATGTATAGGGTTATACGTTCAAAGAATAATAATTTGGTAATGAACGACCATACCCCTACTTATATAGTATTTGAACACAAAACTTTAAGGATTAACAATAAATCTTATAACCACGATAATTAATAAATTATATATATATATGGATAAGATCCACTTGCACTATGTAAAACTAATAAATTTTACACCAATTTGTAAACATTAGATTTAACTAAATAAATGGCTTATATTTAATTAAAATTTATAATTCATACATAAATATTTCTTTATCTCACAATAAAACAATATTTTTTTCTTTTTAGAGTTAGGATTTAGGATTTAAAGGGTTAATATTTAAGGTTTATGATATAGGGTTTAGGTTTTAATGTTCACGGTTTAGTGTTTAGGATGTGATGTGGGTTTGGGGATTAAGGTTTAAAATATTTAGTTCAGGGTTTAAAATTTGAGATTACGATAAAAGAGATATTATTCTACTGTGAGTTAAAAGATATTTATTTATGTGTTATAAATTTTATTAAATTTTATTAATTTTATGCAGTATAAACGAATCCTGACACACACACACACACATATATATATATACTATGACTACGATGTCAGTAAAGGGGGCTGCCCTAATTTTGATTAAATGACACAAGTCGACGTTTAACCTGAATGACACTTGTAAGTCGGCTAGCTCATGTGGCAAAGTAGAATTTATTTACATTTAAACAAAGATTAATTGCAAAACGATATATATAATATACTCACAACTTACAACTTACAAGAAAAGAAAAGAAAACGACGGCGTATATTCATTATGTCATGACTTTCAAAAACCGTTAACAATACATCACTTTAATATAATATGTAATGGTTTTAAGTTGTTTTAGTGCATGTATATCACTTTAATAAGTCTTACATATGGGGATCGAGACGTTAACAATACATCGATTTGTAAATGTATTTATTTTATATTATCTATCATCGATATTTATTAATTGGTTCATTTAAATTAAATATTTAAAATATTTTATTTCATTAAATCGACTTATATTTGATAAAGAAACTCAAATTTTAAATAATATAAACAAAGAATGGCACAGACGTGCATGAATTGTACGTGATGTTATGAACACAAGTTCACACGTCATGGGATCCATGTTACAACTTACAACTTGCTAGATGGCTAATTAAAGACTTATCACGGGAAGATTACTAGATAATATTAAAGATTTTCTTTAATAACGGGGTGATTAATGGATAATATTTATTTATAATTATTTTTAATCATTGATAACGCATGTGCACGCTGAGTCATCCTTTTGAGCTTTTTAATTGGTTCGAGGAAAGAGACGCGGGATGTCGTATTTAAGAGAAGTGACCAATAATGACAAGGCAACCAACACCATGCTTGTTAATAAATAATCCCATGAGAAAAATCTACTTCTATTAAATTTAAATTGTTAAAAAAAATTAGCATTATTTAATGAATAAATTTTGATTTTATAGATGAAAAATAGAGAAAGGGCTTTGTCTTCTGTTTAAGAATTTATTCCGATTTGATTTTAAATTTTCACAAGATTCATATTAGGGCTAAGCAACAAAAACTATTGATTAAAAAATATTTTAAATCATAATGTATGAATGGCTAACGGTTCATAATATATTTTCGGGTAAACTACGCGTTTAGTACATTGTTTTTATTTTAAATCATAACGTTAAATTTTGAACGGAGTATTAAAATGAAACAAAAACTAAAATTTTTAACGGATGGATTCTAAAATCAAACAAAAAACTAAATTTTACGTATGATTTTGAAAAACACTGAAAGTTTAAGTAGTAAAATAGACCAAAACTGATAGTTTAGGCATTAAACGCTGAATTTACCCAGTATTTTCTTGGATCTTTACATAATAAATCGAAACAAATACATTAATATAAAATAATGTATAGAATAATTCTCAAATATATTGGTCCTATAAAGAAAATTATCCTAATTTAGGAAACGAAACCTAGTGGGTCCCAAAATAGGACACCTGTCCCATGACTGGGCATTGCAAGGTAGTAAGTGGGTCCATTTACCAGCAGCTAGTTAAAATAGGAGGTGCCAGGTTTCAAGTCTCTGGATTGTTTGATTAGTTTAATATTTTGTGATCATTACTATGGTTACACTTGTCGGAACAGAAAATTTGAAATTAAATTAAATTAAACAGTAATCTCAAATTACGTCCAAATCCTGGGAAACTGCCACGTGTTTTATTTTTCTTAAAGAAACGGGACCCAGCTAACCAACTGAAGCTGCAAATGATTGGGTGCGGTTAAATCCACGGAGAGTAAAAGGAGTTGACCCCTGACCGAAGGATTAAATGAGGGAGACAACCGTCTGCAGTAGATGATTAAAATTAGAGTTTTGGGTAAATTACGATTTTAGTACCTAAACTATCATTTTGATCTGTTCTAGACTTAAACTTTCAATTTTTTTCAAAACCATACCTAAAATTTAGTTTTTGTTTCATTTAGTACCTACTGGTAAAAACTTTTGATTTTTTTTCATTTTAGTTCCCCGTTCAAAAATTAAGATTAAGTTTTGAGATTTTTGAAAGCTTATGTATTAAAACATATCAAAATTGATAGTTTAGACAATAAACACGTTAAGTTTTTTACGGTTGATAATAAAATGAAATGAAAATTAAACGTTAGTTACGATTTTAAAAAATTAAAAGTTTAAGTAGTAAAACGAAAAAAAAAACTTAGAATCTAAATACTAAATGCTTAGTTTACCTTAAAATTTTTAAATAACGGACTATATATTTAATATAATATTGATATTTACTTTGAATGAAAAATACTTTACACTCATAAAATGAAGGAATTCTCAAACTTCAACGTGATATATTTGATACAGATTAATTAAAGGATAAACATAAACTTTTACATTGATTGTTGAATTGGGGGTAATAATTTTGATTTTAATTTGATTCGATTTAATCGGATTAGATTTTTTAAAAAATTGGGTTTGAGTCGGGTTTTTAGGAAATATGTTCAGGTCGGGTTTGGGTTTAAGTTGAAAAATACCTAATCCGACATGTCCCGAAAAATAATATAAATTTCCTTATATATTCAATGATAATTACAATAATAACCCTTTATATGTTATTTTTTCTATTAAATACCTATATATATTGAATAAAAATAATATTTTTATAAATATATTTACTCGGGTCGTGCCAAATTTTGAGTGGAGAGTATATATATTTTTGAGTCGAGTCCGGTTTTTGGGACCTGGCCCATGCCATCCCTATAAATAACCAGTTAACTAAATGAAGAAGCCCAAGCAATTGGTGGGCTGCCGGTCACCTTCTTGAATAATATAATCGATGATTGGATCAGATTAAATTCAAAGTTGAGATAGCCGATCACAACCAAAGTACCGAATTCACCACCTTGTCTAAAAATGGCTTACATATGAATGCAGCTTCTTTACGTGGTTTTCTGATGCACAGCAGAAAGATGGCATGGACGAAATTCATGATGATGCAAAATCTAAATGCATTTCCTATTTGTAGTTTCTCTTTCTTTTGTTCCTTTTGGTCTAAGTTCCTATTGGTAAACATTACAGGTAGCTGAGATTATCAAGGAGGATTTATGGCCGAATCCTCTTTAGTTATTTCAACAATGTAACATCTTTTTCTGTTGAAATGTTCCATGATTCTTGTTATAAGCCTGTTGGTCGAGATCATGTTCTGTTTCCACTTCTAATTGTCATCTGTTTTGATACCTTCCTTGATTCGGGAGGCTGATGAAGAGGACTGTAATGATGATGGTGACGAAGAGGTTGTAGACACCCGTTTTTGTCCGGGTTTTGAAACCGCCGTTTGAAGTTCCGTATTTTGTCAGACATAACAACATTGTCGTCAGTTGCCAACAACTTAATTTTCTCCTGTTTAAAGATGTTAAAATTCCATACCAACAGCCTTCTTTCTGCCAATATGTTTCTCTATTTTATTGTTTGTTTCTTATTTTTAACCATTAACAGGGAGATGATGACGACGAGGACGATCAAGATGACGACGAAGATAACTAATTCTAAGAGCTGGAATCATGATTAAGGGGTTGTTTGTTTACTTCATAATGATTAAGCACTGAATGATTCAGAGGCTCTGTATGATTAAGCGTTGAATGTGACATGCTGTTTGATAATGACTCTGAATCATTCAGAATGTACTTCTGTGCTGAATCATTCAGCACTAAATCATTCAGAGGTGCGAAACAAACGCGCTGAATGCTGAACGGTTCAATATTCAGCGCTGAATGATTCCATTAAGAGGCAAACAAACAACCCCTAAGATGGCTTGTAGAAAGTAAGACCTTAGTTTTATCCGGTTTCCTCTCAATTGCCACGTTGATTTTGTTTAGGGTAGATTACACATTTGATACTATTAGTTTTGGTATTAAAATGAAATAAAAAACTAAATGTTATGCATGGTTTTGAAAAAAAAAATGAAAGTTTAGGCATTAAAATAGATCAAAATTAATAGTTTATGTACTAAATACGTAATTTACCCTTTTGTTTAAACTCCACTAATAATAAAAGAAAATCATTCTATGTTATTGGAATACTGAATAGGCAATGCCATTGGCATTTAGCTGACAATCATTCAAAGTACGGGACGATGATGAACTCGTCGGAAGGGTTAAAAGGTAAATTTGCGTTCCTTGAAAGATTTTAAATTTTGGATAGCCCTAAATTTGAAGTTTATTCTTGTTTTTTATTTGTGAACTGATACTAAAATAAAATATAAATTAAATTTTAAGTAAAATTAAAAAAAATATAAAAATTTAGATATTAAAATTAATAATTTAAGTATTAAACGTGTAATTTACCCACAATAATAACATAATGACAGCAAATTGATTCACGAATTTCACGTGATGGTAAGTGGCTTTGTTGGTATCTATGAAATTGCATACCGTTTATAAAACGGAGGTTGTGGATAATGGGTACCCTTTTCGTAGGGTCATGGACCTGGGTATTCATCATTTTCCCCCTAACGTCATAGTATTAAATTTTCAAGTGCTTAAATTTTTAGGGTAATTTGAAATGGTTGTATTCTTTAATAAAAAAATTATTTCATTTTATTAGTTAAATTTTCAAGTGCTTAAAATTTTAGGGTAATTTGAGCAATCACAATAATTAATGATTAAAAATAAATCAAACAAATAATCTAAATATATATAGACAAAATTTGTAATGTGAGATTTAAACTAGAATAAACTTTTAACCGAAAACCCGCCCATAATATTTATGTATAACGAACCCAACCTCGTGGGACACCCCCCCCCCACACCCTCCGACGTATGTTCCCGGTTCGGCTGCCCCGGTTCGATCATGTTTATCGGCTATATGTTTTCGTTTTAACAGAAATGATTAGCAATTCACTTTTACCAATTATTATTCAATCTATCGATTGACTAATCTATATTAGATTTTATAGAATTTTATTATGAGGATAACCCTCTCAACCCAGTTTATTTCATTCACAATCGTCAGAATTCGAACCTCTGACCGTGCTTAAGAAATCTAGTGTCTCATTCTACTAGATCAGTTGGTTGTCGATAGCAATGCTATCACTTTAATTTAATTGTTGATTTACTATTTCATTGTCATAACAAAGTGCATCACCTTACGTAAATTTGTAATAATATTTTAAAATATTTGTTGACGTGATAATAATGAAATAAACATGAATTATCATAAGTTGTTACGTCAGCATCTTAAAAAAATAATTATCATTTTTGTTAAAATCAAAATAATTTTGAAAAGAAAGGTTAGTTAAATTTTAATAAATAAAAACAGCACGAGATTGATACAATGTGTTCAAGGGACCAAGTTAGGAAAAATTACAAAATATTATCTATTTCTTTATTTATTCATCTGTGTCTCAACTAAAGCTGCAATCCCAATTTCCCTTGGAATTTGAAAAAATTAACAAAAAGAAAATATGCTCCACCGTTTTCTCTAAAGCATAGTCTCAACTATGGGCTGAATTTTTCGAATAATTCATTTAGAAAAAAATAATTCGTCGAATAATGCTGTCGAGAGCTTATTTCTTCGAATGGGGTAAATGATACAGTATGTCCTAGAGTCGCATAACCCTCCGTGTTAGCCGAAGTCGGATGGTCTAGATATTATGTTAAAATATGGTGTGCTAAAACTTTTAAAATGTTCGTAATAAATTTTTACAGTACTTGATTTAAAATAATCGATCAATTAATTGAATACTGATAATTAAACCAAAAAGAAAAGAAGGGTTCATCTTCTCTCTTCCTCTGAATTATATCATAATTTTATCGTGCGTTTATTTTATATATGCTAGTTTTTTTTAATTAATATTCTCATATTTCATATGAAAATTTGTTAAAACTATATTTTGATATAACAATTTAAGGAAAAATGTTTTTAGATTTGAATTGAATTTATTCAACGTTTTAAAAAATAATTCAAAGTCTTTAAAAGTGGAATTGAGCACAAAGTATTTTTCTGAACAAGAAGTATCGATATTGTTCTTACAGTATTAATACCTCATGAACAGTACTGATAATGTTCATATGGTACCGATACCAAAGGTAAGGGAAGTATCGATACTCATTGGGTAGTATCGATACTACCAGCATTGCTCAAATTCCATAATGCAAAAATGGTATCGATACTACTTTGTATAGTAGTATCGATACCATTGACATAGTATTTATACCACCAGGCCCCAACAGCTAGTAACGACTAGTTGATTTAAAAATAACAAAGGTAGTATCGATACCATAGACATAGTATTGATACCACCAGGCCCCAACAGCTAGTAACGACTAGTTGATTTAAAAATAACAAAGGTAGTATCGATATTCCCTTTAGGAGTACTTATACCCTTTGTACTGGGCATTTTTATTTTGCAGAGATTTCATCCCCAACGACTAGAAACGACCACAACAACATTCTAAGATATAAATACAAGTTGAGGACACTTGAAGAAGGGTTAAAACACTTATCCAAGCATTCAAACACAATAGAAGAGTTTTCCAACCTTATTTTTTTATTCTCTTGTAAATATTGATCCTTTAAAAAGAAAGAACAAATTAGTGAATTTGTTAGAAAATCTTAAGTGAGGAGCTTAGGTAGTGGAGGTAGACTTAGTTGAGAAGTCAAACCACTATAAATTCTTGTGCCAAATTTCTCTATCTTTTACTCTCCTTACTTCCTAAATATTTTTTTTTTATCAATTTCCCCCCTTTTGTAAATTTTTCAGTTGATAGATTCGAGCTTCCGCAATGCCAACAAAATTTTAGATGCATTTATCTGCTCTTGTAGCACGTGTTCTATTTTCTCAAGATTATATTTGATGTATTTTTTATTGACGTTTATTTGATTATCTTATTGATCTATCCATAATTTAGACCAATGTAATATCTTTCATTTATTAATAAACGCTCTTAATCACAAAAAATAGGTCATAGTTGAATTATAATAGAATCAGTTTGTCAGTGTATAAGTAATAGTGACTAAATGTATATTTATATCAATTTTATTAATTGACAAGTCAACTCCTTCCTTAAATACTAATTTTAAATAACTTGATTAATATATTTTAAATTATCAAATAATTTTAATAATAAATTTAAAATATTAATGATCAAATTAAAATCTCATAAAATTATAAGAAAATAGAGGTACAATAATTATTCAAAGAAAATCACGTGAAAAACATAAGCAAAATGTCCCAAAACCATACTTAGTTGTTAAACTATCAATTTTTGTCCATTTTAGTACTTAAATTTTTTTTAAATCATATTTAATGTTTAGTTTTTATTTCATTTTAATACCTCACTGTTAAAAACTTAATGTATTTAATACATAAACTACAACTTTTGATCTGTTTTAATACCTAAACTCTCAATCTTTTTAAAACTTAATGTTTAATTTTGAATGAATACTAAAATAAATAAATAAACTAAATCTTAATGGTTGGAACTAAAATAAAATAAAAGATAAACTTTAGGTATGATATTAAAAAAAATTAAAAATTTAAATATTAAAACATACTAAAATTAATAGTTTAAATAATAAATGAATAAACTATCCTATTATATATAATATGGGAAAGCAAAGTTGAGGAATCCCAAAGGCTCGTTGAAAGGCAAAATGAAATGATTGCTTGAATGAAGATGGGTCCCCATCTCATAATCTTTCCTCTCCATTAATAATAATTTCAACTATTTTCTATTTTTTTCTGGTTAAATTATATTAGATATCATCGAATTTTAAACATTATATTATTTATATTATTAAACTTTTAATTTTATCAATTTAACGAAATAATGACGTGATTAATGACTGTTAATGTATATACCTCGTTAAAATGATATCGTTTTGATCTGACTATTAACGATTTAATGACCACGTAGCACAATTAAAATAAAAATCAAAATTCAATATTATAATTAACAAAATTAAAAATCGAGTGATATAAACGATACAATCACTAAAATTCAATGATAACTGGTATAGTTTACAATTATTTTTTACAATAAATATATGGGACCCATACTTGGCCACCACTGTCTTTATGGATTCAATGATAAAAACAACACCTCATGTGGAGTCTGAACCAAAGAGGCTGCTGTCCTTTCACAATCATAATAATAATAAAAAAAGAATTCTCTTATTCATAAAATAATAAAAATTAATGATTATGTTAATATTTTGATATGTTATCAGTATATTTATTATATTATTCAAATAAATTTAATTTTTGTAAAATATTTTTTAAATTTAACTAATATTATCATTACAATATTTAAAAATATGCAAATTTGAAATAATATTATATAAATTATGTAAAATTACAAGTGTTAAAATAAATAAAATATTATATTCATGAAATTTAATTAATATACTATAGTATTTTTCCATATTAAATAAAGATAAATTACAAGTATCTTAATTTTTATTTTCAGAAATTTATGAAAATTATAATATAATATATGTTTAATTTTTTAAATAGTTAACGACGTATACATATATTTTAAATGTAATTATTTGAATTCGATCCTTTAAAAAGAATAATATTTATTTTTATTACGAAAATCACTTAATTAATTCAAGTGTATTAATTTTTTAATTAACACGTGTAATCGATTGATTAATGATTAATAATATATAAACGTATACCAAACCAACTCTTCATGTATATTAAACCTAAAAAAAACAAAACTACTAAAATAAATTTTAAATGTTTTAAATATTCTATTAAATAAATAATATTTTCTCTAAAATATAAAAGTAAAACCATTTTCTCATATGTAAATTATAAAAATAAAAATAATTGTTTTTAAAGCCAACCCATATAATTCCCACTCATGATCTGTGTTCCTTAAAGCTTGCCTATTCCCTTGTCGTCTTTTCTTTTATTTATTTTCTAGAGAATTACATCAAAAAATATTTCATATAGTCTCTTTACTGGTAAATAAATAAAATTATATATATTTAAATATATTTAAAAAATATCAATTAAATTAAAACTTAAATTTTTAAATAAATTTAATTGAAAAAAAAACCACCAAAAGACTCATTTGAACGTTTAGTATAACCCACAAAGTAAAAGGATCGATCTAAAGAGTCACTCACACCCTCCGTTCATTCATCACCATTAGAGAAACAACCTATTACTTTCATGCTATCATGGAAGGAGGAGGCGGCGGCGATCAGCAGCAGCAGCAGCAGCGTCCTACTTTCCCATTCCAATTACTCGAGAAAAAAGAAGAAGATAACCAGCCTAGTTCCTCCTCTTCCACCACCCTTCCTCTCCCTTCCCTCCCAATCCCCTCAGCCGAACAATCCACCACCGCCGCTCGTTCTGCTTCGAGCCATCAGATCTCTGCGGAGCCGTCCAAAATCCCACCCCCTAAGCGTACTTCAACCAAAGACCGTCACACCAAGGTGGATGGACGTGGCCGTAGGATCCGCATGCCTGCTCTTTGTGCAGCTAGGGTTTTCCAACTCACTCGAGAGCTCGGCCACAAATCCGACGGCGAAACGATCGAGTGGCTGCTCCAACAAGCCGAACCGGCCGTGATCTCCGCCACGGGTACCGGCACCATCCCTGCAAGTTTCACTTCCCTCAATATCTCGCTTCGTAGCTCCGGTTCGAGCATGTCGATACCTTCTCAGCTTCGTTCATCCGGTTTCAACTCCAACTTCTCGATGCAACAACGTCGGAGTTTGTTCCCCGGAATCGGACTCGAAACGACGCCGACGCCTGCGTTCTTTAACTTCCAATCCGGTAGTAATTTGAACCCAATGTTTCCGGCCAAGCAAGAGTCTTCCATGGAAATATCGGAGGCCGAAGAAGGTAGTATAGGAAGGAAAAGAAGACCCGAACACGATTTATCTTCGCAACATCAAATGGGGAGTTACTTGATGCAGTCGAGCACCGGGGCTGTTCCGGCGAGCCACGGACAGGTTCCGGCGAACTTTTGGATGTTAACCAATTCTAGTAATCAAGTCATGAGTGGTGGTGGACCTGGTGGTGACCCCATATGGACATTTCCTTCGGTGAACAACAGTGGTTTGCATTTCATGAATTTCCCAGCTCCAATGGCCTTGTTGCCGGGCCAGCAATTGGGTTCCAGCAGTACTGGCGGCGATGGCGGCGAAGGAGGCGGCAGTGGTGCAAGTAGTGCCATGAGTGAAAGACATTTAAATATGTTAGCCGGATTTAACCCTTATAGGCAAGTCTCCGGCGGCACCGGAGTATCAGAATCTCAAGTGAGCGGCTCACATTCACACAACGGCGGAGGCGATGAATAACAACATGACATACAACTGCTCATCGTCTTTGTTCATTCTATCAGTTGTGTAGTTCGATTTGTAACACACGTGAGGTTTGATTGCTTTAAAAAAAAAGGATCGAGTCGTTAGTATACTGATCAAAACAAACATGAAATTAATTAATTGTTGGTGTGATTATTTTGGTTTTTTTAGGGTTTGAGAAGAGAGTAAGAGACAGACAATATTACCATCTAGCTCAGTTGGTAGAGCACAAGGTTTTTAATCTTGGGATCGAGTTTCATGGAGGGTATTTCATAATTCGGAGGTCTCCTACGAAAATTGCTCTCGACATGGTATTAAGAACAGTCTATTATCTTACCTCTCCTTATCTCATTACATATGAAAATAAGTGTAGACACCCGTTTTTGTCCGGGTCTTTTTTGTATATTATTATTATCGTTATTTTTATTATTATTATTATTATTATTTATTATTAATATATTACAATTGTTTTGCAGGCTCAACCCGAAGCCCATCATGATACAAAGCCCAATGCCCAGTCATCAAGCCCAGATCCGTCCTGAACTGGCCCAACAGTGCTCAAACCCGTTAGGGTTTCATTCTCTTCAGCTTCCAGCTGCCTCTCATCAGCCGTTTGGCCTTCCAGCTCCAGCCACCGCTTGGCCTACCAACTTCCACAGTCGCACGCGTGAGCTGCCGCCGTTAACTCCTCAAGCCATTACCGACAATCCTGAACCAAACAGTGATGGTAAATCTATCAACACTGACCGGTTTCTCAACCAAATCAGAGCAATAGTAAACCTAAATTGAAAACCTATTTAAAAACGAAATAAATCCCGAAAATTCAGGATTTCACCAGCTACCAAATCAACCTATAATATCCCTAAGTTCTAGATATCATCCTTCAGCAACCACAACAATAAGAAAGAGACATGCAATGACAGGGGGGGGATTCGGGTTCAGAGAAAGAGAAAAAAAGAAAACAAAAAAAAACAGAAGATAGAAAAAAAGAGAGATTCGAAACAAAAAAAAGAGAACAGGGGAGGAGAGAATCTCACCGTGGGTTAGATACTAGTGGGGGGAACGTCAAAGGTCGCTGGAGTCGTTTTGCCGAGAGATAACCTCGAAGATCTAGGGTCCTAGAGGTCTTTTAGGGTAAAAGGAGTTGAGATCGGGGTTGAGAGTTGAGAGAGGAACGCTCTGGGGTTTTTTTTAGCTTCCTCCGGCCGCCGCCGCCACCGCTTGCCACCACGAGCTCCGCCGTGGCTCCATCTCCTTGACGAGGAGAGGTTGAGAGATTTTAAATCCTCTTTCCTCTCTGTTTGGCTGAAGGCCAGCAAATGAGGAGAAGTGAGTGACCTAAGCCCGATTTTGGGCTTATATTATTCAACCAAAACGGCGCCGTTTCAGCAAGGGACCTTCAGCGTGTTTTATCTTGTGGGGTAACTACAGTTTAGGTCCCTCCTCGTATGTAATCTGTTATTTTGGTCATTAATAAAAATTATGATCTTTTACTTTGGGCATTTATCTTTCGATATTTATGATTTAGCCACTGAGTTCATGAATTTGAATATTTTCCTTGCTATTTCGAGTGGCCATGATATTTATGTTTCTTACATTTTAGTCACTGATTCTGTTATGTTTTTTTTATGTTCGAATTTGGAAGCAATATTTGTAAATCAATCATTTTAGTCACTGGTAGCTTGTGTTGTGTATTTTGTTGACATTTGAATCTGGTCATATCATTTCTAAATATTTATTTTAGTCACTGCTTCACTTTTGGTTTAATTATTAGTCGGTCTTAATGTTTTGTTTTAATTCATTTTAGTCCTGTATTATGTCTTTTAAATGTTTATATATCTAGCTGTTAATTTCATGTAGTTTTCATTTTGGTCATCAAGTAATGATTTATATTTATTCTATTTTGGAGTTATATTTTATACCTTTTTCATTTTGATCCCTATTTGATCACTAGTGTGCTTTGGGCAAATACTTTGTTTTGAGCCCTGATTTGTGATTATTTCATCTTAGTCACTAATTTTATATATGGTGTATTTTCTTTGATGTTTTGATTTGGCCATGTCTTTTGTAGGATTTTTATTTTAATCATTGTTGGGCTTTTGGTTTAAGTATAGTTTGATCCTTTATCGTCCTGTTTATCTCATTTTGGTCACTAACATATTATGAGCTATTTTCATTTTAACACCGGTATTATTTAATATGTGCAATTTGAACTATGGATTACTTTTTAGCCCTGTTAGTTTATGCTTTTACTAATTTAATCCATTATGTTTATGTATTTCTATTTTAGCCCTATTAATGTATGTTATGTCATTTTTGTGGATATTTGACTTTAGACCCAATGTTTGTAATAGTTTCGTTTTAGTCTCTGATTTCATATGATAGATATTTTGGTTGATGTTCGAATTTATCCCTGATATTTATGAATATTTTATTTTAGTCATTTATGTATGATTTTATTGTACTTGTTATTCGGTTATTTGTATTATGTAAATAATGTTTCATTTAATGTAAATATTTTATCTTGTATTTGCAATTACATTTGTTTATATTACGTTTTTATCCATGAAATAATTTTTGATTTTATTTTCAAGTATGTATGCGTAGAATGAGCGTGGAAAGTACCACTTGATCGAAGTGGTGTGATCCGGTACGGCATTTTAACGACATAGAAACTTGAAATAAGTCGAGTATATTTTGCTAATTAATTTGTTCAAACGATGCGATGTGTGTTATTTTAAGTAGTAATTTATTTTATTTTATGTAAATGTCAATTTCAAATTTTGCAGTTGTATTCAATTCACATTTTAGTTAATCAATTTATTTTGTTGTATGCAAACATCAATTTTATTTATATTCGATTCACATTTTATCAAGAGGGAAATATTCTTTATGGATGAGAAATAGTCGAGTTAGCTTTCCCGATGGAGGATTGCTAATTTCGAGATTTCTTTTCGAGTTAAAGAATTTTCTCTAATTATTTAATTCGAAGCAAATTAATCAACGTTCGATAAATAGATCATATTTTAACTTTATATTTGATTTATAATTTCCACCATTTACAACAATGTGTAAGCGACACAGTACCAATTTTGGGCGTTGTGGGGGGTGTTTACCCTTCCCCGCACGTAACCGACTCCCGAATCCATTTAAATGAATCTTTGGTAACGCAGACCGAATCTTGTCTTAAAAAATGATTTTTCTTAAAATTGTTTTAAAAGACGTTTTTAGGTATTCGACCTACCTAACCCAAAGGTTGATGGCGACTCTTTTTAATTTTATTCAAATCAATGCAAAATCACCCATTTTTTCCAAATTAAAGTCATAATTGTTTTTAAAAATAATATTTAATAGTTCCACCTAAAAAAATGGTTATGACAGCTTGGCGACTCCGCTGGGGATTTTTTTAGAGAGTCAGGCTGTATGTCGTTTACATATTGTCATCTTGGTGGAAATGATGATTTCTAGTTTTAGTTAATTTATGATCCGCTTATTGAAATTTTTAATTGCTTCGTTTTTTTGTCGTACTAACATTTTATTTTTGGCTTTCAGCTTTGTCAGGATTTTATCATTTTTCCTTGTTTTGTTTTCCTTTTGAGTCGAAGGTAAGTATGTTCCTCCTCACACACATCACTCGCATTGGCATAACATAAGCTCTAGACACGAGTTTCGATCCAAATTAGTTGGGGTGAATGCTTTACTCTCGTAAGAATTTATTCTTCGTATGAGTTTTAGCAAATAACCCATGGGATACATACTTTATACCTTCGTAGGGATTTATTCCTCGTACGGGTATAAGACAGTGAATCCCCTCGAATTGAACTCGTTCCGTTTGAAACCTGTAATGGGTGAGGATCGAGGGTCTGGCAGCCCAAGGGGGCACCGACATCAAGGACAATTCGAGTCCCTTTTTTCCGTTAGAGCCGAAACCAAGCATATAGTGAACCGTCGAACGATCACCCTAGGTATAGTCATACCGAACCTTTGTCCGTCAGTAGGTACCCAAAATAGGTGTACACGAAGGAGGAACGATTCTAAACCTTAACCTTTTAAATTTGTAGAATATATTTTTTCCGAATAAAGCATGCGAACTAGATACCATGCGGTTAGGACCAATTTCTTGAAAATTATTCATTTTGGGTAGATAACATGTACGGGTAGGATTATTATCTATTTAAAGCATGCTCGGGTAGATATCATGATGGGTAGGTGTTACTATATCGATTGTCTTACCTGTACTAACTAATTTCTTTTATTTTCTTTGTGTGCACTAACTTATTTATTTTCTGTTGTTTTGTTTTTTCATTCTTCTTTACATTGCATCATCATAACATAATGCGAAAATGTTGATCACAAGGGGATATTCGAGAGAAAATTTTCACAAGAAGAGATAAAAGTTTTCAACCAAGCAGTCGCGTACACAGACATGCACCGAAGGCTAAAAAGAAATGCACAGAGTACGAGAATGAGACTTGCTCAAGACGATCGTGAAACGTTCGAGACTAAAATGATGAGCCACTGATCCGATGAGTGATCCAGCAGTCGATTTTTATCTACGATCATTTCATCGCTATTTATCAAGGAGCGGCACACTGACTTCCGCACCACTGGGGCATTAACAGAGTTAGGTTACAGATTGTTTTAGGGGCATCAGTTCCAAATACAAAGATCCGAGACAAAGCAGTGAGCTCGAAGATCGTGCAACATTTAAGACTGAAGTCTGGGGATTAATCCAGCAGTAGATTATTATTACGATCGTTCCGACGTTATTCATCGAAGAGTGATGCACTGACTTCAGCATCGCCGGGTGTTAAAAGAGTCTGTTTACAAAACGCTTGAGGGCATCATTTTCAAGGATGAAGATCCCAGATGAAGCAACGACCCATTTCAGATTCAACACTTAAGAGAAGTCAAGTCTGTAAAGTGGACTGTCTTGTAATGTGAAAACTTTTATTTCTGGTGAAAATTGTTCTAAAATATTCATTGTTGGGATCCATTTCTGCATTTGCATTTGCATCGTTGCATTTTGCATAACATTCATTTAAGCATGTTTACATGCATTAATCATACCTTGCTGGAAACTTTGA